ATGCCAAGGCGTGGAAGGATTTGTAGACGAGTGAGAGGATTCTCGAAATCGATCCATTCTGCAAGAGGGAGCCAGTGGAGCCTGTCGAGAACTGGTGCGATGGGGGTAACGGAGTTCAGTGGGGTTGGCAATACAGGAGGCGGAGTTCTGAATCGCACCTGAAAGGTTAATCTCCATTTCCGATCCCACTGGGGCTTCACCCCCTCTGTTTTCACTCCTTGCCTCACAATCTCCCGAGGAAGTGTAACCTGGCTTCGGCATGTGGAAGAAATAAGACAACAAGTAACGACTTCCTGTGTTGGAAACAGCGCCACGAGGTTTCTTTATACCTTTCGTCCAGTGGCAAAAGGACGTGGCGAGGGGCCGAGTGGAGAAGGTGTGGCTGAGAGAAGGCAGATGACGTGTGGCACTTTAGGGTCACATCAAAGAGGTGATTCTGTAAGTAAAGGAAGTTCGCCTGATATCCAGCAAGCCTCCGAGGTGAGCCGACTTTACACACCGCGTCTCAAACTGTTGGTGGGTGTTTTTAACGCATGACAGATCGCTGCTCAGGCTGACGTGCCTTTGTGACAAAGAGATATGCGTTGGGATTAAAAGTCCAAGGCAACGTCGATATAACTGAGCGTGACAACACTGGTTCAGGCCACCCATCGTTAACGTTCCCCTCGCCTCGCCCCCCCCCCCCCCCAACCCCTCCTTTCTCGTCTTCAGGTCGCGCCTGAAGACGCCCCTCTTCGACCGTGCCTACGGTCATCTCCCTCCCCCCCCCACACACATCCTCCCGGCTCGGTGTCATGCTCCGCCACTGTCAAGCGCTCTGGGACACCTTCTTATCGAACCACTTTTCTAATCTTAAACACTTCTATTAGGTTCCCCCTCCCTTAAAAGTCTCTTCTCCAGCGAAAAGAAGCCTAACCTGTCCAGTCTCTCCCGATAGCAGTAATCTGTCAGCATGTGGCCGTGCGCTAGCCTCAGCGATGATCGTCATCTCCCGTCTCTGCGAGCTCCGGTCTTTTGCAGAAACGTCACCGCTACTCTCCCACGATCAGCCTGGGACGATGCTGCGAGCACGAGGGGATCCTGAGCAGGCAGCGGAAAGCATCGACGTGTTTAGGAGGAAACGATGCGCAGATGAGAGAGAAAGGAGTCGAGGGGTGTAGGAGAGGGGAATCAGGCTGGTGTGGAGTATAAACACCGGCACGGACTGGGTGGGCTGAATGGCCTGTTGTATTCTACACAATCTCCAACCCGCGCTGGGAGAGCCTGGACAGTACAAATGAGGTTATGTTGCCATCTTGTGGTTGAGCTAAATCACAAACCCTACCACAGTTGATGTCAGTCTCTTCTGGATGGGCCAGAGACGATGCAACTTCAAAGTTTTGATTTGGGGGGTGGGGGTGTGAACCCACTTTCTTCTTAACGCCGAGGCGAGAGTGCTGCCAACTGAACCAGACCGACGTACTTGGAACAGCACCGAATGAGGTGCACATTCTCCCGGTCGGTATCCAGCGATATTCCCGGCTTAAATCCCAGGTGCTCAAATGAACAGTAAGGAACCTCTAGTTTGTACGGTTACATTACATTACACCGGGGAAGCGTTCCCTCCCTCTAACCTTCTCACTCGGACTTCAAAACGGAAAGACTCAGTGCCCAAAAACACCAACATCAATTTTATTTTCTCTCCCGGAACGTCTGCACTGAGGCTCATTGTAAGTTTAAATCTGAACGGATTATTTCTCAGTACCGACAGCCGTAAAGACGGGTGTTTTTGACTGAATTTTATCTCGTCGACATTTTATCTTAGTGCTTCCACACACCCCCACCCCCACCCCTCGCCACTTCACAGCCAATCAGCCCAAACCTGCAAGGATCAGGGGTGGGGAAACGATGTATTGGGGGAAGTCTTTTTGGATGAGACTTTAAACCCAAGTTACTCTGCTACTCCGCCAACATGAACGATCCCGGTCATACTATCCGAGAAGAGAAAGGAGTTTCTCCTCTAGAATCGGTCATTCACATTGTGGCTGTTTGTGGGATTGTGCTGAAGCAAACTGCCATATTATTATTATTATTATATATTTGCCGAGAAGTCACTGCTCCCGACAGCAATAACTTGTGCTGCTCCAAGTTTCAATGACAGCGTATGCGATCTGTTCTTCAAGCGAAAAGATTGACAGCGGGTGGTTTTAAAACATGTGTTTTATACAACAACAAAATGACATTTATAGAGCGCCTTTCATGTCGGGAGGACGTCCCAAAGCGCTGTACAGTCAGATGTCGGGGCCCGAGTACAGGGGAGGGGTGGGGTAGGGGTGAGGGAAGGCAGAGAGGTGGGAGACCAAAGGCACGGTCGAAGAGAAGGGTCTTGAAGGAAGCGAGGGAGGAAGCGAGGCCAAGGGACCGTGGGATGGAGTTCCAGAGTGTGGGTGCAGAGAGGCTGAAAGCCCGGCCACCGATGGTAGGGCAGGAGACATGGAGCAGGGCAGAGCCTGACGAACGGAGGGAGAGGGCAGGTTGGTAGGGAGTCAGCAGGTCAGAGAGGGAGGAGGGGGCGAGGCCATGGATGGCCTTAAAGGTGAGGACGAGGATCTTGAACCCATACAGCCTCTCACATGGGCGCTATACAAGTCCCTCAGAGGACTTTAAATTGAGCGTTTAAAATGTTCAGACCCACTTGATCGGAATCGACCAAAATTCATTGAGAGAATGAACACTCAGATCTGCTGTATCCAGTTGCAATGGTCCATCTGGAACACTGGAGGCTCTCAGAGACCTGTGTAAATACCTTCAGAAAGCCACCAAGAGAAATTGGACCCGGGTTCAATTCCCGGTTGAGGAAAAACCTAAGGCAAGTTTCCTTACTCTGTGCGCTTGTTTACCTCGCAGTAAGTAGGAAACTGGGTGTTAGTTGATTGGCAGATTTCTTTCTGGGGGTAATAATCAGAAAACATAATTTGGTCACTCATTCCGCGACCGTCTGTGGGACGCTGCTGTGTGCAACTGGCTGCAAGTTTCACTCGCAAAATACCCAAGTCAAATTCATTTTACAATATATTCTGCGAAGCACTTTTAAGACGTCTCAACGACGTGCTCAGGCGCTATAGCAAACTGCAAGGATTATTTATTATTATCATCATCATCTTGAATCTGCCCAGCGTTCTCACCAGCAAAAGTAAACTGCTCGAGAGACTAACATTGGGGGCAAAAAGATAAAAGGGGCAAGTGCAGCAAAGCCATGGCCCTCGTTCCCACGTCTGGCAACAACCTTGACCCAGGAGTTTGGAACACGCAGCTCTCTTAACACGTCCAAAGCAGCTCACGAGCAACACTGAACATGAAATAGCGACCACAGAGCAGGCTGAATTACTAGCTCTTTTAATGATGTTTTCCAAAAATGTCTAACCAAACCACCCAGAGTTTCTTTTTAAACACAAGTACAGGTTTTAAAGTACTGTTTCTCCAAAATAAAGAGCACACGTTGTTTAGAGACAATCTACACAAGTTACAAAAAAAATATTTGCAGAGGCCAAGCATACACAGGTTTTGTTAATTATACACATATGGTTACAAGTGTACTTGCAAAAGTTCATCTGGAAATATACACAAGGCTTTCTGTAAATGTACATCATGAATGTAGTGTTACAATTCTATATTCAAACCAAGAAAATTGACAGTATCATACATTCACTTACAGGTAGACAAAAAAATGCAAAATACAGGTATCTTTTTGTACAAAAGGGGTAGTCCACAGTTTACAAGATGAACAGGAAGTTTGGTTTCCGTGGTAACTAGGTTCTGTCGCTATGCACATTTTATTTTTACCGTCACAAGAAAACAAAAACATTACAATATTTGTAAAAGTTTCAAAAATCACTAATGTGAACAGAATATTAATTTTTTTTTCCCACAACATTTATAAAGGAGAGCTACTGTTCCATCGAGTGACAGGTTAAAAAGAAAAGCAAGTGTTTTACATTCCCTAAGCTGTATAAAGATAGAACATTTCCTTCAAAAATTTACTTCTGATTGAAATTTACATTATACAAGACTATATGCTAACGACAAAGGAAAAAAAAATGTGAATATACACTGAAATGCACATTTTGTCTTTTTGTTTTTTCAAAGGGTTTAAGTTGGTTCAAACTTTCCACATTTACATTATAGAGGTTTACAAATGTACAATTGTACAGTCAAATTGCGATTCACTACTAGGGTACATTTTAGATACAGATAAACATCAAATTGCAAAAAAAACTACAAATATATATGCAAAGTCTACAACAATTATACACTACATATTTATAAGCGAGACCAAATGTTTGGTCGGTTTTATTCTTCATGCTGAACATCTACAAATTCAGCCTTCTCACAAGTTTCCGCGCACCTACCTGTTAAGATAATTGAAAGGGAGCGTGCACTCAGGACACACATGCGCACACACGCACACAGACTCGCACACACACACACACACACACACACATACACACCCCCTATTCCACAAAGTCTGTACGGGTGAACAAAGGGATAATTCTGTTCCACAGTTAAATTTATCATGGGAACCAAACAGCACATGGAATTCAAAAGGGAGGGGGTGGCGGGATTCGGTGGGGAGGGGTAATTTGAGATGGGGGTGGAGGAAGGGAGGAGCGGGAAGGGGAACATGCAAATCATAAAAACAAAGCAGGTATTCCAATTTAAAAACACCTACAGGAAATTATGAAAAGACACTAAAAAGTGCCGTTTTTTTTTTCTTAATAACTTTACAAAAAAAACAATTTCATTTTAAAGTCGATCACAATAGGTTTGAAAACCTGCGTAACTGGTTCAAATAGAACTTCGCCAAATGATTGCTAAAGAAAAGCTCATGTCTGCGATGAGAAAGATAATGGTGGGTAGGTTTTAATTCCTTGCATATATGTCTTATTATTATTATTATTATTATTAAGCAGTCAGCATACAACAAGCCAGATTTCACCAAAATACCCTGAACTTTTCTACGTTTGTTTTGTACATACAAGGGGTGACAAAAATACCACAATTTTGGTGTACCTCATGTACTTTTTTTTTAAACCTTTATGTACAATATTTCTATACATCACTGAGACGGGTAGAAAAGCAAGGGCAGTGGTCGTGTCTAAAATAAAAAATATGAACCCAAAAAAAGCGTCAACATCTCTTGGAACAAAAAAAAACAGTAGGACTTACTTTGGGAATCGCAAAGCATCATATATATATATTTATATATATGTATATATAACAGGCTTAAAATAAATTTATAAATGCTATCACCGAAAAACTAAATTTGTTTTGCTTCTTGCTAGCATGTTATGGCAACTTAAAACCAACGGGTTTAGTTCATAGCCTAGAAGGGAAGAGGAGGGGAAGGGGGAGGTTGAGGGGGGGGTGGGGGAGGGTGGGAGGGGTGGTGAAGGTTTATTAGGCTGCTGGTTGTTGAGTCAGTCAATCATGTTTTTAGTCCCTGGAAGAAGGGAAATGGGAGGGATTTCCTTCGTAAGAAATTCACATTTACAGCATTCCATTTGGCGGGCCGCCGATCGGACCCAGATCCACCCCGTTCTTCATGTAATATTTTTCAAGTTTGGCCAAAATGTGCTTTCCGTACGTGTACTTGCGCAGCGTTGCGATGTGAGGTCGGATCTGGAAAGAGATTTGTATATATTTTTAAATATATCTGTGTATATGTGTGTGTATATTACATATATATATACACACACACAAAAAATTACATTACAAAGATCAAGATACTATCAAATGTCACACAGAAAAATATTCGACAAAAAAAAATGCAACGTTAGCAGGTCAGTAAATGCGTTGGAAAGACAAAGGCGGCAAACAACTCATCTGGAAAAGGGTGGCTCCAAATGTAAAATTATCTTCTAAGTTTATTTGAATAGACCGGTGGGACAAATTTCACGCGCCATTCAGAATGGAGTTAGAGACGGACACCAGGACAATTAAAACGCTTCGATCAAAATCACAAGCAAAATGAACGACGGCGGATTACACTTGTTATACAAAGCGCCTTCGTGTCGGAAAGGCCGCCCCGCGCATTAAGCTTCTCCGCACGCGTACCTTGTGCATCACAATCTTGCGCTGGGCTGGTTCGGCTACGTCGATCATCTTTTGCACCACGTAGTTTGCGTACTGGTCCTTCATCATAGTGTATAAGGCACTGTGAGGGCCATCGTTAATGCTGCACACTTCGTCGATCAGCAGAGCGCGCTCAGCACGGGAGGCGTGGGTTACACACTTTTCCACCACGTTGCTGTAAAAACACAAGTCACCGCGGCTGGTCAGTCGAGTCCCCAGTTTTCACGCTCACCACTACCACACATTGTTGCAGGCAGAAACAACCAATACCCCCGAAACATTCACTTCACGTCTTTTAAGAACATTCATTTATCGTTTCTTAGCCAACCAGGCCGGCGATCCAAGAGATTTTTTTTTGTTAAAACAAAAGTTCGCTTCACTTTATCTGGAGCTAAAGTCAAAGCAACGCCGAACGAAGCTCAGAAGATTGAGCTCAAAAGCTATTTAAAGAGCTGCAGGATTTGATGAGGATAAAAGTGTTAAGTCCCCATAAGCACAACTCGGAACAGTCGAGACTTCAAAGCTCGTGGAAACGCACGACAAGAACAGGCCAAGCCTCGCTTGCAGATAATTTTTGCTCAACAGCTAACTCGAGTAGGAAAGCCAAAGAGTAAAGAGACAGTCGTGAAGGTGAGGCTATATACCTGGCAAACTTGTGCTGGCTCAAAGCCAAAACGTTGCCTCGGATTTCAGACACAATCTTGCTCTTATCTTCAGGGCGTCCGTGCTCCAGAACGTGTTGAATGACATAATTCCCGTACTGATCCTGCAAGGGAATAAAGTTTACAGATTAATGGCTTCCCAACTCAACTCCATGAACGCAAAGCGTGTTTCACCGCTGTCTATGGATGCGAACAAGACCCGTACAACTTTAACGATCGGAATTCTCTTTAAAGTTGCGTACTCTGCTGCAGCTGAAGATACCGCAGTCAAAAATCTGGTAAGGATTTAGATTGCGTTGGCTTTGGCTCGTAAGTAAAGCTGCACCAAAGGCAGACGTTTGTTTATTGAAAGATGTGTAGCTTGCCTTTAAAAGAACAGCTCAGTACACGATGTTGAGAGGATCCGGTAATAACAAGCACGTACTCTCGCACTATTCCTCGCTCTGTGATAACACACATCAGTGCATCACAGGTTCAAAGACAGTGCAGTTCAATAACTCAAGATAAACACCTGGACACACACAAAAAAAGGGCTCTGGCGCACACAAGGTTCTTGAATCTTCTTTTCTTTATACCATCAAAAGTTTTCTTCTTTTCCTTTTTAAAAACGTTCAACTCCGATTGCGTGCGCAAAACAAACTACATTCAATAAGCGGGTTTAAATAAAGGTTTTGCATCCAATGGATTCACGGTTGAGCCGATCTGAAGACTTCTGAGGAAAATTCGCTTAACATTAGCGCCAAATAATTTGTAGGCTGAGCAACATTCAGAAGTTCCTGCTTCAGACAGTCGCGCTCGCTCGCTGCTCAACCATTCATTAAACCCAGCACTTTGTTTGCCCTCATTCCAAAAGCTTTTACCTACAGGGAGGTGCAGCTGTCTAGACACGAGCAAAATCTCAAAAGAACCATAGAGAAATCCGTGACACAGTAAGAGACGACTCAGCCCGTTTTACAAACACCGCTAATCCGTTTAAGTTTGGGCAAAAAGGCTGGCAATCAGAATGGAACCACAGCACAAATCTTCCACCAAAAAAAAAGGTTCCAGACCACACACACCGAAGCAGTGAAATTCTGCAACTCAATGCAAAAATTCCAGGTTAGCTTCTGGGCAGATGCTCTGAATCTAAAGGAAAGGCGCTAGGAGTCCAGAGCCCATGTTAACAGATAGTCCAACAAGAGTCCAAGCACCATCTGAAACTGTAAGGAAAGCCTCATTTCAAAACAGATCCCGTGCCACTGGCAGTCGGCAGCACTTCAAGTGGGGAGGGTAAACTCAGTGCTGCCGCCGCTTGCAAAAAGGTCAGCGCACACCGACGAATGCAGCGTTCACCTACACCAGGAACCACCACGTGTACCTGAACTAACTGCTCGGTGTGTTGGTGGAGCTCTTCGAGGATCGGCAGGGTCTGCTCAGGCATGCAATGCTCTAGGATCCGCTGGATGACGCGGCAGCCATATGGGTGGGTCGACAGGGCAAACACCTGGAAGGATGATACCGAGTGGTTAAGGCACAACGATAATGATAATAATCCTTGCATTTGATACAGCGTCTTATCACGTCTTTCGAGAAGTATCAAAGCGCCTCAAAGCATATACACTAAAGTGGATTGACTGTAAATTTTATAGCCAAAATAGGATGCTTAACACATCATATAACCAGGTATTCTGGGCGATTGACTACGTACAACTATTCTGAGCCGTACATCTGAAGCATCATTTTGTTTGCACGGGCTAATTATTTCCTTGTGGTCGTACATTGCATTAGTCAGGGAAATAAACTGCGGATTGATGCACACTGCGTTGTAATTAACGGTAAATATATATGCTTTACGTCAAAACCTTGAACAAAGCTTTCGTTTAAAAATGAGCCACAGTTCTTCAGTATATACTGACAAATATCGATAGTATAGAAGGTTACTTATTTGATCCAATGCTGGATAAGTTACCCACCACAGGAGCCATCCACTCTCAACCCAATTCCCTGCTCTTTCTTCATACCCCGTGGGAAGTGAAACCGGTTTCACATTAGGTCTTACCTGCCCCTGGAAAGCATCAATGATGAACTGCAGAGACTGAGGCTGCACACACTCGATGCACTTCTGCACCACATGGTTCCCATTCTGATCCTTCACACATTTCAGCACATGGCCATCGAGTTCCTTCACCATTTCATTCTACACAGGGGAGGGAAGGAGAAGTAGGTTTGGTATTTGAATGTTATGAGTGCTGATACAGTACTCCCCTGGAGTGAGTCAATGATTCCCAACTCTCTCTCTCGATAGAAATTACATAAGCATGAAGTGCTGACAAACAGAAGCTTTGCCAATTTATAGATCTTTAAATACACCTCTTGTGCATGCCCAATTTCAGGTTAAATCAGCTTCAAAACGATATATTAAAAAAAAAGTTTATCACACATCAACAATGAGCAACAAATTATATTTGTATAGTGCCTTTCAAGCCGAGAGGACGTCCCAAGGAGCCGTCAATGGCATTGCTAATGCACCGCTCATGTAAATCACAAACTTGATCTTACAATTATCTGCTGGTCTGGAGGGATGGATTCCAACGCCTTCTGTATCACACGGCAGCCGTACATCTGCAACGCCAATGAGAGGACGTGCCCACGGATGCGCTGAGCTAACGCCAGTTTCTGATCCAGACTCCCAAACTGCAGAATAATAAAAAACACACACCAAATAAATAAATTAAACCAACAAATTAGACACCGGGTTAGTACGAGTCATCACAGATGTCAATTAGTGGGTCAGCTACAAAACAGCTCATTCACCATTGAGAAGCGGGAAGGGACAGGGACAAACAGGAGGCTGTAGCCAGCCGAGTGGAGGCATCAGGTGGTAGTAGTCGGGGGTAAGCAAATTAGATAGCCAGGGAGGTGCAAGGGCATGAAGGGATTTAAAAATGAGTGAGAGGATCCGTTCAGGAATTGGGAGCCAGTGAAGCCTGGCCGGGACTATTGTTATGGGGGTACAGAGTTTTGTGTGGGTGGGTATGTGGGCGGCAGAGTTTTGAATTCATTGAATTTTGTGTTTGGTGGAGCTGGGGAGACCAGCGAGGAGGGCGTTGGAATAGTCCAGGCGGGAAGTGACGAAGGGGTGGATGAAGCTTTTGGCTGCTTTGGTTGTGAGGTACAGACGGAGTCGGGCAATGTGACAGAGGTGGGAAAAAGCGGTCCTGTTCAGGGAATGGACGTGCGGCAGAAAGGAAAGATGGGCATCGAACTTGACACACAGGTTCGGTGAGTCTGAGGGAGAGCCTTGAGGAGTTCAGACCCACAGGAGAGATTTCACGAGTAACAGCCACAGCGTTTGCTTGCTCTTTCCTCATCGTTTAAGCGTAAGCACATGTATGCTGAGTTGAGCTCACAGGAACCCAAATCACTACTGACCTCAAAGAATTTCTGAATGACGTAGTTTCCAAACACGTCCACCATCAGTTGGTAGGCCGCCTGCAGAATTTCGTTAAAAACCAGCTGTCGTTCAGCGGGAGTGGCACGTTCCAATTTAAGCTGAATGAATCTGCAGACAAAATACTTATGAGGGTCTGCACGAGGACAGCACACAACAACAAGTTAACATTTGTATAGCACCTTTCACGTCAGGACGTCCCAAGGCGCTGAAATGTGATTTAGCTTTATTTACACTCGTGTTTCCCTCCTTGTACCACATGCACCGACCAACCGGGTCATAATCAGGGGTGACAGGTTTGTAACCCGCGCTTGTCCTACAAAAATGACATCCGTTAAATCTAAAAAGACCGCAGACCGCTGTGGCCCGTCTCAGCTGTGATTTGGCCATCACTTTGTTTAGTTATATGGATCGATATAATATAGGCGGCCTCATTCATGTTTGATCATTAAAACAGAGCGAGAGCAGACTTGAAGCAGACTGGCAAGTATGAAAGTACTTCTACCGAAGGTGGAACGGAGGGCACGAAGGACAAACGGGAGGCCGGAGCCAGCTGAGCGGAGCCAGAGGGTGGTGGTAGTGTAGGGGGGGGGGGGTAAGCTGGTCAGATAGGTCGGGAATCAAGTGATTTGAAAACGAGTCAGAGGATCTTGAAATCGATCCGTTCGGCGACTGGGAGCCAGTGGGGCCTGGCAAGGACCGGTGCCGATGAGGAAGTGCTATGCCTCGCTGGCACAAATCAATTATCTCCTGCCTGCCGCTTGGAGCAACTTAAAATTAATTTTGCACACCTTGAGCCGTGCTGATCTTGAGAGAATTCCATGATGTGTCCGGCTATTTCGCGCAGCTGAAGGTTGGGATAGCGGTTGTTGCGGAAATCTTCCAATAATCTGCTCCGGCCAGATGGCATGACGTCCGACATGCTGTAGCGCAGGCGTGACGGGGGAAACAGCTGACTGCTGGAGCTGAACAGACTGGAGGTGCTGTTTACGCTGCGATACTTGGCCTCGGCTCCAGGGGCGGCCGAGATGAACCTTCCACTTCCGTTTGTCAGGCCTCCTGTCATCACAAACACATCACCGGAGTTATCTCAACTTGGTTTCATCTTTATTTCCCCCATCACCAGCACGAACTAAACAAAATAAAGTTAAGTCTTTTTGAAGAAGAAGAAAAAAAAGGCCAGCTTTGTTACACCGCAGAGAAAAGCTGCTACATTCCCGCAGGCTAACAGCAAACCATGCTCCACATGAACACTCGCACTAAATACTGGAGGCTAGAATTTTTAACAAACCTCTCTCTCTCTTTCGCCCACCGCCCCCTCCACACACTCACACTCTCTCTCACACACACACACACACACACACACAGTTTACCATTAGTTTGAAACGGGTGCACCCACATTTCCCAGTTCATTTAAAAATTTCTTACGAAAAATTTGTCTACCCCTCTCCCAAAGGTAAAAGCTTATGCTGGGAGCAAAATTTCCACAGACACCAGTAAGCTTCCAGTACCTTGTTCAAGTGGCCATTTTTCACGTCTAAGCTTGAATGAGTGTTGGCAGGCTATTTGACTGTGTGTGCCTGTGCGTGGGGGGAAAGAAAGAGAATCACACACAGCTGAGAACAACCCTGTGCTCCTCTGACGTTCACACGAGCATACATTCCAGCAGGGGTGTCACTAGCCCCAGAGCACAAGTGAGGGTCCATGGGTGGCAAGCTTGCCCTCCTCAGGGATTCTGAGCTCACTGCAGAGCCGTCCACATTGCTCTGGCTGAGATCAACTCAACACAAACCGCACAATGAACCTGGAACCTGCCTGGTTTTCACAGCACGCAGTGAATTTTCGCACTGCACTGGGGGAGGAGGTGGTGGTGGGAGGAGGGAGGGGGGGAATTACTGGGTATTAACCATCACTGATGAGGTACGCTCTAAAAATAACATTTTAATGTTACCGTTCATGGGAATTTCTGAGGCACTGCAACGGGTTATAAAGCCGCACTCTGCAAACGTAGCACTAAGATACGTTTGAAATACTAACACAACAGATCAGCTGACAGCCACTTGACTTATTGAATAGTTTTGTTCAAAATGACTATTAAATGAAATCAGTGAGCGAGAACTGCCAAGGTGGTTATTAAGCTTCGTTTCACAATCACCCAGGGCTGCTTTTCAGTCATTTTAGCTTTGTTATTTTATTGCTTCAACAGTATCCCTCAATTTAAGTCACTTGTACTTTAGACTCAAAAATCCTGCTTGGGCACTAAAATTAACCCTTTCCTCTGAAGCAGCTAACTCCGGTTATTTGACTGTCTTGCCAATCCAGCCCTCAACTGACAACTTCTTCCTGGATTGAGTGACTATTCTCTTTTTACTGCAAGTGTTGAAGTCAATGTAGCACCCCAAAATATTGTCCTGCCTGAGATTCCAGGATTGAGGGGAGTGGTGGTGGGGGTGGGGGTGAAGAGAGGAAGCTCGAGGTTTTACATTAGCCCATTTTTTTGCTCTTTAGTTTTTTTTTTAAAAAAAGCATCAGCCTGGCTCAGCGGTAGCAGTCTCGCCTTTGAATCGGAAGGTTGGGACTTGGAATCACATAGTTTAAGCTGACACCGTCCTTTGGATGAGACGTTAAAACCAAGGTCCCGTCTGCCCGTTCAGGTGGACGTTAACGATCCCTTGGCGCTGTTCGAAAAGAGAAGGGAGTTTCTCTCTCCCGGTGTCCTGGCCAACAATTCCTCAAATAAAATTGGTCACTCACTCCATGGCTGTTTGTGGGACACTGCTGTGCGCAATTGGCTGCCGTGTTTTGCCCACCAAATACACAGTCAATCCACTTTACAGTATATCCTGTGAACCATTTTGTCACGTCTCAATGACGCGAGAGGTGCTATATTCAATGATTATCATTCTTAAAAGATGTGCAAGGGTGACAGAGGTGAAAAGGGTAGTTTGATTTAGAAACATGACCTACAAACTGGGACGGTTGTATAAGGATCAATTATAAACAAACGATTGCGCGAAACAACCAAAAAGATTTACTGAGTGGAGCTGATGGGTTTTTATTCTTATTATCAGTTGGCAGGTTCTCCATTAAAAGTGGATTCCCATACGTCATGCAAACTTAACTGCTGTGCCTGACCCAAACCCAATGCAGACCAGAGATTTGGAAAGCACCAGTGATGACCTGGCTCAGCTTGCGAGTACATGTACAGGTCTCAGCAGAGAAGCAGTGAAGCAGCTCTCAGTGAGGGCAAGTGTGTCATCACTGCCAGGAAATCATCCACAATCAAATCAATGTGTTCCGGCCACATTATTTCATTAGCCAATACAAGCAAACCTTATACAGTAGAGTCCTGTTATATCACAGTAGTTGGGAGGGTCTACAAAACCCCAACCAGTGTTATAAGAGGGCTTGATTGCCGGTTAGAGCTCCCGCTTACACTGCACAAGTGCAGAAAGCTGGCCACCATCCATGTACCGAGAGGTGGGTGAGGGGGGAGGCTCTTGGGTCAGCAACAACATCACTTCTTGTGCACCGGGCAGCACACAGGAAGTTGTCGTCGGCAACCCGACAAGCCGGAAGGAAGTCTACCTTTTTTTTTTGAAAAAAATAAAGCCCGCGGAAACCGGCCAGCATTTTGAAGCGAACCAGCCGGCTTTCTGCGTGCACTTCAGATTGCTCAGCAAGTGAAAGTCAGGATCCACCCCCCCCCCCCACTCTCAATTGTGCTTTATAAGCCAGCCCACGTTACAATGGGGAGTGTGTCTTAACAAGGTTTCACGGAGACCTTTCCATGTGCCCGTAATATACTTTCAGTCAGACCAATAATCCATCTCTTTCCTCCTTAGGTATAACTAGCAATTGAACAGAAGGTAGGTGTAATAATGGTTGCCCACCCCTCTTACCCAGATTAAGGCTCGATGACGATCCATGTGATGATAATGAAGGTGGTGGTGTCAGCGAGTGGCTGGGACCCTGGTTTGCAAGCGGCATGCCTACTGGGCCAGGGGAGGACGAGAATCCCAACCCATTGTAAAAGTTATGGCCTATAGGAGCCAGGCTGCTGGTTGTTCGCTTGTACAGATCAGAGCTTCCAGTTAGGGAGTCTCTCCGAGAGCCGCTGCCGGTGTTTGAGCTTCCAACTTAAAACAAAAGAAAAATAAGTGGTTGATTTTTAGTTGGTTGAATGCCTGACAATCGTAAACTCTGTTGGGCTGACAATCATTCAACGCTACACGTGTAAAATTGGAAAATCTGCGTCAATGCCGCAGTCCACAACGATCAGGAGTATAGTTACACATCCCCATCGGTCAATTAAGGGTCAATTATACATCCCTGAAACGAGCACAACCCAACACACACATGCCCTGCCCGAAATTATTTTAAAACTTCTGCACACTGCAATACCACACTGGAACTGAAGTGTCACATTTGTACCTGCTACGCATGTTTCACAAGCCTCTCCTGTCCAAACCAATGCTCGTAAAGCCCCAAAAATTAAGATTCCAATGTATTTCAAGACGAGAAGGTTTTAGCTCGAGAAAAGTATATTTGGAAGTGCTTGAATCGCGCCTCTAACTTCAGGAAGACACATGCTTTGCAGGTGGCAAATGCGGCCGTTTTTGTTCCAACTCATCCAACCGTCCATCGTTAATCTCGCGCAGTTGGCATTGCATTCCTCCAGCGATAACACACGTACCTGCTGACCCAAACCCTCCAAGTGCAGATCCGAGAGTAGCCCCGAGCGAACTGGTGCTTCCAAAGCCCAGGGAGGTGCTGCCAGGCTGGCCAGATCCCTGCGAGAACAGCGAGTTGCTTTGCGAAGTACTAGACAGGGAATTGTTACCGTAGAACGAGCTGGAAGGCAGGCTGTTGTTTGGCTGCTGCTGCTGCTGTTGCTGCTGGGGTTGCTGGTTGCCCAGTTGGCGAAATGAGCCATTGGCTGTGCCCGCCAGACCACCGGCTGTACCGTTTGCGGAGGCTGCCGCCGCCGCGACTGTGGGCACAGAAAGGGAGAATTAGGTGGCTGCACATTCGATGCGTGCCGACGAAGTAAAAAAAAGAAATCTTGTGTTTTATTCAACTCCCGCTCCCAAAGATGTTGTCTTACTCAGTCGATGCGAGTAAGCAATAAAATCAATTCAAAGGCAGGTCATCAGATGGAGCGGCACATTATGGATCGTAAACAGCAACAGTACGAGGCAGTAAACATTAAACCGTGATTTATTTCACGACCACTTGTGCGTGGGACATTGCTGTGTGCAAAGGGGTTGCCGCATTCACCTGCAAATACAGCCGCTGGACTTTTCCATTGAAAACCTCTGGAGCACTTGGAGATTTTTTTTTAAAAAGCGTGATGATGTAGCACTGCTGGTTTTGAAGCAAGATATCCAGGCACCAGACCTACCTGCCTGCGCTGCAGATGGGCTTATAATTACAGGTGCTGGAGCCACTAGACGTACTGGAGCTCCCAAGCCATTCCGAGCTCCAGTATTCATAACCAGGGCACCCGTCTGGTCATAATAAGCAGCTGGGGCTATGACTTGATATCCTGAAAATGAGAACACTGCAGGTGAACAACAACTTGCATTTATATAGCGCCCCCCACCCCCCCCGCCCCAAAGCAGGGTAGGGTCGCAGAGCGCTTAAGTGAAGGACTGGTCTGATCTGTGAACAGTACATACATTTGCGAAGGCATTGCATCACTAAACCAAAAATCCAAATCTGGGCCCACAAAACTTTTATATATTTATATATAAAACATGGTTTCCCTTTAATACAAAGGGGAAAAAAAATACATCAAATGACCTGCAGTTTTCCGAAGCATTTGTAATGGCTATTTTTGCCTGGGAACACACAGCTCCCAATTATTTTTAAGAGGCAGGTTTACAACTCAATTGATGCCAAGACAGATGCATTGCATCACTTTACTCTGAAGGCAGTGTTGACCGGATGAGAATTTTTATGCCCCAAACTCAGAAGGGGAAACCCATTGTCAGCGGAAATTCACGGTTATATTTAAGCCTGGATACTGTAACTATTAAACTCTGCTGCAAAGCCACCTCGTAAAAGCTATTTAGGGAGGTAACTTAAGGAACAATATAAAATATACACTTGGAAATGATTTCTTTGAAAACAATCTCTCCGCTCTGACATAATACTGCACTGGGAGGGAGTTGTTCGCTAGAAGATACATCCAGATCTGGCTCTAAATTGTAATCAACATTACATAGGCGATTGGCTCTTATAAAGATGCATTTCTTTTCATTCGCTTCATTCAGCGTGCAAATCTCAAACACAAACCTACAAACTACCATTTTTAGGCCAGTACATTGAAAATCACAGATCAAACACGTGCATTTTTTTTTGTTTGTTTGTTTGGAGCGTAAAATCCAAGTACGAAGTTGGCATTTGGGGTATAAAGCACTGTTTGAGTTATTCACAGGTCTGGCTCAGATCAATTTGAGTACATTGGTGAAGTTCTCATAACCGAACACTGTTCTCAGTGAGGGCAAGTGTGTCATCAGTGCCAGACAGCTTTCAGAAAAGTAAACAACATTGCAGGTCAAGCTGTTTCACTTCAATGTACTGAGAATAATCGGTCTAAGTTTGCCTTTGAGATGAAGCGTTTATGGTTTTACACTAGTTTGTAATCAGGGGATTAGCTTTTACGAGCGTTGCTACATCAAAACAAACCATGTGGACATTTATCAAACCTCCATTTTTTATTTAAATTTTTTTTGATGCAGTGCCAATGTAAAATCGGCCGATATAAAATAAACCCAAATCACGTTTCAGATAGTATTGATTTCAGACAGTAATGCAAGCAAGATCCACACACAGAGAAAGAATGCCAGTCTATTCAGCAAGTAAAAATGTGTGTCAAATGTAGTGCTAATTATTTTTTAATGAGCGTCTATAAATTCCTAACACTTAAAAAGACAGATCAATTATAACAGGTAAACTAAGTATTGGTCAGAATTTAACTGGACTCCCATCTATGCTCCAGGACATTATAACACATGCATTTCATTAACTATCAAGCAGTAAAAAGGGAAAAAGCCAGGCACTTACCAGAATGAAGCTGGGCACTGTTGACTCTATAAAGTTCTGCAACAACATGCGTTCATAGTGGCATGAAGTAAACAGGACTGAATGTTTTATAAGGTTTTTTTTTGCAAACTACAATTTTTTCCCTAAATAATATTTTTCCGCACGCTTAAAACAAAGAGGAAGAATCTACCTGGCATTCCAGTCGCTAGTCCCTGGCTAAACGCTAGAGCTGAGTTAACAGCTGCAGCAGCAGCCAAGCTATCTGCTTGTTGTCCTTGCTGGCTTTGGTTCGGGGTCAGTGGCCGCTGATTGGCTCCAGCACGTAGAACCTGGTACAGAAAAATATGCCCATTGAAATATTTATAATATAATCCTTGCATCTGAAATACAGTCTCGTCACGGCTCAAAGTGCTTCACGGAACATGCTGCAAAGTGAATTGACTGTATTTTGCGGGCGAAAAATTTGCTGAAAGTGTTTCAAAGGAACTCAGTGTATGCGAGATATGGACTGAACTTGTTCTACGATTTAAACGAAGGATTTCTTTCACACTGGAAAAACCTTTATATATTTCCCGATTATTTCACTGTTTGACATGGTCTCACTAAAACAATGAAAAACGTGAACACTAATTGGGCTCCTCGAGTTGGGTTAAGCGCTGCCCAATGTAGCACTGAATCATAAGAGAGCCAAAGCTTCCATTTCAGCCTGTGCTGAGTTAATCAGGGCAGCAGGGGTGGGACAAGTGGCCTCAGTGCTCCCGACTAGGGAAAACAGATCCTGTTGAATGACTGTGCAGCATAGGATCAGGCCCAACTGCAATGCCTTCCGAGGGAATAGCCTGCCGCCACTTACTGGCCTCGCGCATAAAGAATCAAGAGGTGAGAGGGCTGCATGCGTTCAAAAAGAACCGTAACCCAGCGAGAGAGAGTGAGTGTGTGTATGTATATATATATATACACACACACACACACACACGCGCCTTCAGAGAAGAAGGGGAGAACAATTATACAATGTGGTCTCACTTAAAAGAAAAGGGCATTAAAATTACACTGAAGATTGACCATATTATTATGTCATCACTACAGAACAATAGTCATGTGATGGACAGAAAGGTATAAGGGTTTTTACAGCTGGGAAGCAAATTGATAAGGTTGAAACCAATATATATATATATATATTATATATAAAACTAATATACACACACAATAAAGGAATAATAACTACACATGAGTGGTAGTTTTTTTTACAGTGGCCAATTACACCTCCTGTTAAATTACAGGTGCCAGGTGATTGGTTATAATGTCACACCAGCTTTAACATCTTTTAATTTAGGTCAAACAAGTTTCACGCAGGCAAAAGAACGTCGTTCACATGGGGACATTAAAGTAATTCCAAATTAATTGCAACTAACGCACAATTGACCGTGTGATAGGGAGCTCATTGGCAAATACAACACTATTGTCCAAGCCAAGGTTCTTGCCAACAATATATGAAGTCTGGCTCAGAAATACTGAGTACATTTAAATTCTCATCATCGAATGCTGTTCTCAGTGAGGGCAAGTGTGTCATCATTGCCAGACAGACCATGTATAACTGTAAGTATCGTTGCGAACACTTCCAATCAATTTACAGCTTCTAAAGCCGTGCATTTAATTTAACCGGTAAAAGATACACGAGCATGGAAAAACAAAACAATCTGTTCTGTACCAACCTCTGTACAGCATATCATCTCGTAAGAGAGGTGCAACAGCACAGAGTAACTTCAGGACACCGGTTCATCAAAAAGCAAATGCAAAGGCCGAACCGTATTACATTATTCAACAGATCTCGCTACCCTGGAACCATGGCAACAGCAAAGCAGTTCATGATGTCCAATGTCCACGTTTCAAGCCGTGGATTTATGGAAAGCCACAAAATATTGTTTTTGAAGCTTTAAACACCGTTTAGGCCAAAAGGCACAGCAAGAGAATTGGGGAACACACTGGAGCAATCTACAGTGCATCGTGGGGGTTCATGACTCCCCCGGCACTGGGCTAGAAACAGATGGGTGACTTGCCTGCTGTTGTCCTTGCTGAGCCTGCGATGCAGCCTGCTGATTTGCAGAGTTGTTGGCTGCTGCTGCAGCAGCTTGCTGCTGGAAGAGATTCGCTGGATAAACACCCCACGGGACACCATAGTACTGAGGTGGAACCACTGTAGGGCCTAACACAGCGAATACATAGGAAGGGATGTTAGGAAACAGGATAAATGCATGTAAATATCCCACCGCGGCGACATCATATGGTAACGCAACACCGTGCAGACTTTATTCGGATCGTGTCATGCACAGAACACATTTGGTATTGGAAATGCTCTGAGCAATTATTAATATTCATATCTTAAGAGTTATATTTTTCCAAAGACGGTTTGGCTCAGATCAGTTGAGTAAAAGAATTGAAATTCTCATCATAGACAGACATGTGAGGCCTACGAGCAACTGGACGCAAAAAGAAAAGGAGAGTCGAAAAACTAGAGTCGAAAAACTACTTGACTAATCGTCTGAATTGTTTTGAAACCAAACTTTTTTTTGAGGGATGGGGGGGGGGGGGAAAGAACCAGAGTTCTCTGTTACAATCCAGGTACTTTGTTATGTGTACGATAAACACCTCATTAGAAACTGGCACCCTCACTTGCTGTAAGGAAGCACAAAATCAAAACATTTTGCCACAATGATATTTTAGAACCTTTGCAAAATTGCATTTCAGCCTTGAAAACCTTTGATATCGTTCCATTATCACTGGAGTTCGAATGTACAATTGTTGCCCACAGGTAACCTACTCGAAATGTCCTGTACATCACGTGGCGCTCTGTACACAGTGTTCCCTACCCCACCACAAGATGCCTTCCTCCAAAGGAGCAAGCTTATCTAACATTAAGTCAAGACAAACACAGCAAGAGAACAGAATGTACAACTGCTCGTTTGCAGTTTAATCTTCGTACCGTAAATGTATGATGTGATACATTCGTGCTACAAGAGTAATGCAAATCTCGGCTTGAAGAATTGAGGTGGGCTAATGAAGGAGACGACTGCTTCCAGATTAGATCTGGGTGCTGTATAAAACTTTGAAACCATCATTAATTTGAGGGAAATAAATCTTGCTTCTACCTTGTAACAAACGTGTCCTTTTTTTTAAAACATCCAAATTCAAAGAATTCCAAGCCCCAGACAAAAATATCCTCACTTATCTTGCACCCAGCTACCGAAATCCTTGAGCCCACATGTGGAAAGTAGCATTTTCAGAAATACATCATGAATTACGCTTATCAAATCCTAATCCAAAAGTGCGAGGAAGAGGCGAGAAAAGAGGAGAATAAAGAGATTCCTAAACGTTAAAAAAAAAGGATGCTGCTTCTTTGCGGTTTGCTCTTTGCAAGAAACACACCGAGCAATTGGCATTTTAGCAGAGTTTGTAAGAGGAACGTAGCCCTTGCCATTCTGAGAACGTTTGGTAGCCAGCGTGAAGTGTTTGTACCACATTTAATTAAGACTGTGCACACGTGCACGACTGGTCGAGCCAACCTCCCACAATTACCTTGTCGCCGAGCCTAATTTTTGTCAGGAATGATTACATACACTCTTGGGTCCTTACCATTGTGATCATCGGAAGGGAGGATAAATTGGAAACTTTTTAAGAAAAAAACAAGTCACTCAACGCAACATACCCACAGATAATTGAAATCAAGGCTGAAGTCTCACCTGCCAGAGTTGCAGCAGCAGCAAGGCCTGCAGTGTAGGGATCTGTACCTGGAGGGGCAGCACTAATTATATATGGGTTTGGAACAAATGTTGCTGGAGCGAGGCCTGCTGAAAACATACCTGTTGGGAGATATGAAAGCAGTCAGAAGCTTACAAATACCGTTATAAGCAGCCAGACTGATAGCTAAAGCAGGAGTAGAATAGACAGAGGAAATAAATGCATTTAAAACACTAAAACAAAGGTCTATTGGCCGGGACACTGCTGTGCGCAATTAGCTGCCGGGTTTCATCCATAAAATACACTTCACAATACATTCTGTGAAGCGCTTTGAGACATCTCAATGACAAAAGGCGCAAAATCAAATGCAAAGATTATTATCTTGCCTCCACCAAGTACACAAAGTGCTTGCATTAAAATCTGTGGGCTCTTGCTCTAGTGTGCCACACTAGAGTACTGTGTTATCCTATTTGCCATTTGACTGTATATAACTGACTGTCTCTTATTTTGTGGACGAAACGCGGCAGCCAATTGCGCAAGGTAGTGTCCCACAAACCAGAAGTGACCAATGATATCTATCTCTACAAACTGTTCCCCGAAAGGACTTACCGATATGAGGCTGCTGGGCAGCTGCGAGAGCGTATTGCTGCTGTTGAGCTGCTGTCAGCTGTTGAACCGTCAGTGCATTCTGCCTCTGGAACAGCTGTACAGAAACAAAAAAAAGCCATAAATGACACTAAAATACTCATTTGTGTAAATTTGCAAGGGCGAGCTTCACATCAGCCCTGGTAGTCAATGCACTAGGTAAAGCACGGTTTCTTCAACTCCCGATAGAATAGCTTCAGTTGCAGTCAGCCAGCACATCCTCATGAGATGTCACTTCCCAAGAAGAGGCAACGGAGAGCAAACTTGCAATGTTTCCTCATCCATCTCCCATCACACTGGACCACATCACTGCTGTCACAGAGGGCAAATCAACTCTCCCTCAAACAAAGTGGAAGCAACCCAACAATCCCTTCCAAAACTGCCTGGATGGCAAAATATACGTGGGTGGGAGGGGGGAATAACTAGTACAAAGACTCTATGACATCTGTGGTAACCTGGACGAACGTCTGCCTGCAAACCAACAGTGGTTGCAGAGGATGAGGAGAAAATAATTCCAAAAGTAACTTGACCTGCTCTTGCTGGGTGGGGGGTGGGGGGGGGGGAAAGAGACATTACGTTGTACAGTTGATAATCTAAAATCGAACATAAGAATTCAGGAGGGAGAAGGTTTTGACTTTTTTTTAAAAATAAGTACTATTTACAAATTAAGGTGAGGGGCAGTTAAGATAACGTGCACTCAATCTGTCGCGAAAAAGATGCACAACAAGATTCATTAAAAACAGGCTGGTGACTGGGGAGGTTATTCTCCTTCATTTGCTAGTTGGGATTGTGTTAAAATACTGTACGGTTGTACTTTTTTTGCAGGCAGACTGACCTGCTGTTGAGAGCTATAGTCGAAGAGGCTGACAGCAGCCGCTGCCGAATCCATTTGCACTTGGCTGCTGGTGTAGTCGAACTGTAGCGAGTCGAGTCCAACCGGTTCCATCGAATCCAGGGGAACGTTCTGGGACTCCACGTTATTGAAGTCTTCGGTTGGCTTGGAACTGTTGCTGTTGGCCATTGGCCCCAAGCCCTCCGAGCTATTCTGGTTGGGTCCAAGGAGATCGACCACTTCGTTTGGAGAGGTCTGGCAACTGCCTGGGGTGCGGCTGCACGAAGCAAAAAAAGAAAAAAAAAACGGGACACTTAGCAAGGTTGAACGTGCATCCAAAACACTCGCACCTGATCATCAGTAATATTAATCAAGAAAAAACATTAAAAAATCTGGTACCAAACTACTGCTCTGGACCAAGGTTTCTTACAGTTCAGAGTTGTGTTTTGGCAGTAAAGTGGTAGTGTTGGACCAACTGTTTTAGCAACATTTACATCCACTACTGGCATCGTTGACCCATGACATCATGCGGCAAGCATTCGTCTGAAAAAGCTTTTAACCGTCACGCATGTGTAGGGCTGTGGAGCACGAGTAACATTCCTGTTAAGACAAGGCAGGAGCGTTGCAGCCTTTTACGATGACGTACCTGAAATCCTTATCAGCGTCAATGCCATTCTGCACGACCATCCCATTTGTCTTGTCAATTCCATCGTCCTCCACTTCTTTCAGATCTCCCATTTTATCCCCATCAAAGGAAGACTTGCCTTTCTTGTCTCCCTTTTCATTGTGCACCTCGGCATCCCCAGAACCCTAACCAGAAAGAGGGAGCAATCGCAGGTTTAGCAGCTCAATCAAAATAAGGCGCTCGTGTTCGTTAGCAAATTACACTGGGAGTCAGTATGAACCATGCGGATTAAAGCCTGTACACAAAAGCAGTGACAGATGATATCCCTCAGAAATGCAAAAGGACCCCACTAAATGGAGCCAAACTATGTTCTCTTGTTCATGCCTTCATCACCTCCAGGCTCGACTATGCAAACGCCCTGCTTGTCGGCCTTCCCAATTCCTCCCTCCACAGGCTGCAGATAATCCAGAACTCTGCAGCCCGTGTCCTCTCCCGCACCAAACGCTGTGACCCCACCTCCACCACTCTCGCCTGACTCCACTGGCTCCCTATCCTTCAGAGGATCCAGTTCAAGATCCTGGTCCTCACATACAAAACCCTTTATGGCCTCACCCCACCCTACCTCTGCGACTCCTAACCCCCTATCAACCTGCCTGTTCCCTCTGCTCAGCCGGCTCTGGCTGCTCCACGTCCCTCGCCCCACCTTTGGCGGGAGAGCTTTCAGCCACTCTGCCTGCAACCTCTGGAATTCCATCCCCCAGTCACTCCGCCTCATGCCCTACTTAGCCTCCTTCAAGGCCTGCCTCAAGACCCCCCTCTTCGACCATGCCATTGACCACCCCCCTTCCCCTCCCCTCCCTTACCCACTCAATCCAAGCTCGGGTCTGAAATGCTGTATTCTGTCCAGCGCCTTGGGACGTCCTCCCGACGTGAAAGACGCTATACAAATTAATCTTGTTGTTGTTATTTCACAAGTACAATTAAGCCTCCTGACGTTACCCATATTAAACACAAATCGGGCAAAGCGGGCAGCCTTAACAGGTCCATAATTATAAACAAAAGCCAAGTTAATTCAAGGCAGTTGGCATAAAACAGTGACATATAGAAAATTAACACCAAAAGACATTCTTAGAGACGTCAAGCAGGGATGCTGAAGTTTTAATAAAGCGTTTAGAAACGTACGGTAGCTCTGTTGTAACACGGTCTTTTGTTATAAAGAGACCGATTTGTAACACAGCTTTAAAAAGCTGACTCGTCAGAATGCCACTGAAGTCACTGCTTGCTGCACGCAAGAAGCGCTGTCAAGCGCTCCGAGATGCCGTCCGGCATGAAGTGCGCTGTACAAATGCAAGTTGTTGATGTCACTTACCACGTGACACAATGTCAGCAACAAGTCTGTGCATAGCATTTGGAAGTGACATCGGCAGTGACCAAACAACTCGGGAGTTGGCCATTTTGTTGCATGTACAACGTAGAGTCATCCAACCCCAAGAAGTACTACTGGCGAACTAATAGATATGGAGTAACCAGAAAGTGGTGCAATTTTCTGATCACTTGCGCAAATGTTTTCAATGGATGTCCCCGACGTCTGGAAATACTTACAAATGGCCCTTTCCTCAGGCAGGAGTCAAGTTTTTCCCCAGGCGACGAGCTCAGCACATACTCCACCATGCTGACACCCAGCCCGCCACTTTCAGACCGTGGAGACAGCACGGAGTTGACCTCGTTGCTCCCGTGGAAACCTTGACCGGGACGTCTCTGCACCATGATTGGCTGCGACACCGAATGATCTGAAGGGACAGTGAATTGATAATAATAATCCTTGCATTTGATATCACGCCTTATCATGTCTTCGAGACGTCTCAAAGAGCTTCACAGAATATACCGCATAGTGGATTGACTGTGCATTTTGTGGGCAAAAACACAGCAGCCAACTGCCTACAGCAGTGTCCCACAAACAGTGACGTGGATTTAGTAACCAATTTATTATTATTTTTTTCAAACGAGTTATTATCCAGGGAAAACAATCCATCATTTAACTAACAATCAGGTTCCTATTTACTGCTAAGTAAACAGAGGTGTGTGGAGTAAGGAAACATGCTCAATGACTCGCCCTGCCTGGGAACGAGACCCAGGTCTCTATGGTTGTCTAACCATAAAGAGGGAATGTAATTTACTGAGGTGCTGAAAGATTACTTAAAGGCGCTTTAAAACAGCGCTTCACAGCATCAAGTAGCCTAATTATTATCCATCAAGACTGAGATAGATAAGATTTCTTATTGCAAAAGGGATTAAGGGATATGGGGATAGGGCAGGGTCAGGTTATTAGCTGGAGTTAGATTAGAAGATCAGCCATGATTGAATGGCGGGGTAGGCTCGAAGGGCTGAATGGCCTACTCCTACATGTTATGTTATCGACTGTGACTATAGAAATAGTTAATAAATAATTCAAGAATTTTGTTCCTCTTACCTGAGGCTCCCCAAGCACTGTCCCTCCACTGGTCCCCCAGAAATATCCCTTTAGGTCCATCCTTGTTTGTATCATCAGATTCCCAGAATTTCTTACCGGGCAGAAGCTGCTGTGTATGGAACAGAGTAAACAGTTTTAGACTTTACAGTAATAATCCTTGCATTTCATATAGTGCCTTATCACGTCTTCTATCAAGCCTCAAATTGCTTCACAAAATATACTGTAAAGAGAATTAACTGTATATTTTGTGGGCGAAACGCATCCGCCAATTGTACACAGCAGTGTCCCACAAACAGTCGTGGTTTGAATGACCAACTTAATATTATTAATTTTCTTTGAAGGAATTATTATCCCTGGACAGCAATCCACCAATTGACTAACAACCAAGTTCCTATTTGCTTCTTGGTAAACAGAGGCGTATTTGGAACTAAATAGTCATGGCCAAAGTATTCCTTCTAAACATCCACTCCAATAATAAGTACAATATGTGGGATAATCCAACTTGGGAGGAGCAGAGAAGCATCTTAAAAAATAAAATTCATTTAATATCAGGCTTGCGTAAGTTGTAAGGAATTTAACAACTTTTTTTTTAAAAAAAGGAGACATTACGCGAAAGCAAAATACGCATTTTCAGGGACCTCTGCATACCAGTTAGCACTGACACACACATACACAGTTTGGCTCAGATCAGTTGAGTACAGAATTGAAATTCTCATCGCTGAACACCTGTTCTCAGTGAGGGCAAGTGTGTCATCATAGCCAGACATGTGACGCTTCCAGGCAACTACTCACTTCTGCCGCAAACATTTAAAAACAAAAGCTACTAGTTAAAAGAAGAGTCTTTACCAGCTTAAAAGTTTGTGTTAACAGCGATTGCTCCAAAACATATACTTTACAAGGCGTACATCATAAGATTCAGCTGCACACGATGCATTGGCCCATTTGATCTTATTCCATTCAGAAACCCCCCTCCCCCTCGTTCCATTACGGCAACAGCTTCTTAAATGAATTCAGTGTCCCTCCAGGATTACCCATTCTAGTTAAGCTCTTCGAGACACTGCCCAGGGTGAAGGGCGCTACATAAATGCAAGTTATTGCTGTTGTTGCAGTCATTAATTACCTTCTGTGTAAAGGAAACTTCCTGGGCCAACGTGTGGGAAGGAGACACAAAGAGAAAAGGGGAGTCACCAAACTACCTGACCAATCCACTGAATTGCATTTGGGGGTGGGAAAGAATGACATCTGTCATTCTCCTCCACAATAACACTCGCACAATAGCATTCCGAGTCTAAAGTACTGAAAGCTTCCTCTGAACTCTCATTTTCTCCCGGGCTGAGTGAAAAGAAAATCCAGCAGCGTTCCTGTTATAACATGACGACTGTGGTTCCAGTTTCACAACCAGAGGTTCTGTGTCATTATGACGTCCCCGATTACACGACAGGAACCATCACCGTGCATGCAGGAAGCTTTCCCGCAACAAACAAATTAAAATGGCCGCCCTTTGATGCATCGGGTCACAATGTAGGTGGGGACCTGATGAGCCGGACGTTGGTCATTTTCTAAGCGCACATGAAGCCAGCTGTGGAAACCCGTATAGGCAAACCTGGGCTTAACCAAGGAAAAGCTACGATGGGGGTGTAAATTTACTTTGCATGGGAAAAATTATTGGTTCCAACCTGGATGACTTTTAACCCGTCAGTTGTATCATTGACTCACCTCTCCCATACTCCTTCCTTCTAAGGCCAGTGCTTGAAAGTCATGGTTCAGCTCATCCATTGACCGCACCTAACAAACAAGAAATTTTATAAGGAATTTTTAAACCTCAAATATAAACATTGTACATATGCAGAACAAAAGTACAGACACGGAACCCCTTTCGCTAAGAGCATGAAAATACAGGCAATTTATGACACTCGACCAGAACACAGGAGGTATAAAAAAAGGTTGTTTTTTTTGCACTCGTACTTTTGACTTCATCAGTTGGGAAATAAACCCACCCCGACAGCACGCCCACTCCCCCTCCGCCTCCCCACCCCTGGGAAACGAGTGAACAGGATGCAGCACAAAGCGATCGACCACAAGAGTTAAAAAGGCCAGGTGCTACATCATAGAGCTCTAAAATGACCAAAGGCGCTTGACAAGATTGGCATTTTATTTTTGGCATTTCCACATTAAACCATTGACAGAGAGAGAGAGAACTCTTAAGAGTTTTATAGCCCCTTATCACATGGAACCATTCCAAAGCGCTTTAATGTATATAACTTTCAAGCGTGACTTTCCGTGGGCAAACACGGCAGCCATTTTGCACCCACTCGTACCACAAAAAGCTTCAAAAATGTACAGCTCACAGCCTCCCTACTGTATTTAAATTCCCAACAACCAGTCAATGCTTGGCTGAATAAAACTAGGCAAATAGGAATAGGAGTATTGTAACTCGAGGAAAGACAAAAAAATTCACTTAACAATAAGAGTCAGCCATTAAGGAAAATGAACAACCTTAGGCAGCAAGAAAGGAGGAGTAAGTGAATGCATTGGAAAATAAATGTACACCCAGGGAACAAGTAATATTAATAGAAAATGTCTTCATTACTGGATTAAGATTTAGATTGAAGAGATAGCTTTCATATTGAAGCACCTGATAATAAACATCCTAAGTACAGATCTGGACTGCTCACATCTTTTTGTGCCTTTTAATAGTTTTGTTAATTTCCCCCCCAGCCCTTGTCTGAGACTTCCAACTCCCAACTTCTTTTTCTAACATGTTGACATCATATACATGCAATTCTCCTTTGGGCCGGTCAAATCTGTTTTTGCTAAACTATAGGTTTGAATGAGGGCCTTTCAAGTGTCAAATACAGATTACAAAGTACATTGGTCAGCAAGTCACTTGTCTATAATTAGCAGGGCTACAATTTTGTCACACTGATATTATGAATTAGTTATGATTAAAAAAGCAGATGTGCCTTGTGCTACCTAAACTACCTTAGCTTTGCGGTATTTTACACCGGTCTGCAATTACAAGCACTTTGCCAAGCATGGAAGAAGGCTGCTTTTTTTAAAAATATGAACATCTTTAGCTGGAGAAAACAATCTCAAGAGTGGAAATGGTTAGCTAGTGATGAATAAATCCAACCAAATAGCTGGTTGCAGTGTGTACCTACTAAGTGCTTGAACAAGTTTATTGTAGAGAACCTCAGCACGTTCGCGCGGGCGCACACACACACACACACACACACTACTGCTCCAATAAGCAACTCGAGATCAGGTTATATAGTGAACTTTTGATTGAGCTAAATGCTTGAGATAAATATTTACTCGGCTACTTAAGTTCCGAGCCTGCGTGTTGTGCAAGTACCAAGTACCAAGAATCTTGGTTTCTACACACAAGAAATTTCATCCCAAACTTAAGTGAGAATTCTTCCCTCTATCCAAGTTTTGAACCAACATTAAAAGCACCAAACTGGGCTGTGGTCTAACCACCAACAGAGGTAAAACAAGTTGTCCTTGAACACTGGATCAACAAGGGAGCCAGACAAGCTACATCAGGTATGTTCCAATCCCAGCCTCCTCCCAAGACAAGTGAAATATTCCAGTAACTTACTTTTGCTCTCTAGTATAGGAGGGGTGAGACTTCGCCACCGTCAAACACTCCGGGACGCTACCCCGCGTGAAAGTCGCTGTATAAATGTAAGTTGTTGCAGTAGTAGGAGCCTGTGTACTCACACTCTCCCCATTTCATATTCACTTCTCTTTCCGAGTACCATTCCTTCTCCCACACCTACTGCCTTGTGGGCAGCATTTATTTCGCTTAAATCCTGGTCGGCTAGGAGTCAAGACCTGACAACTTCAGGAAAGAAAGACTGCCCTCCCGGCCAACTCTAACCCGTAACTTTTTTTAAAAAAAAAACTGAAGTCACAGGGTACATGACTCTCATACCAAAGTTAAAACCCTATAATTAGAGAACCCAATAGCTATGCAGGAGGGGCTCAAACTGATTTGATACAATATTGTGACCATAAAATTAACCCAAACACACCCATTTTCTTCAAAAACAGAACAGTTCTGGTGGAAGTACTTCCCCTTTTCAAAACATTTTTATATCCTACTCTTGACTCTTAAGGGTTTTTCCTGCCGTCGACAAATACAAACCAACGAAGGCCTCAAATTCACCATAAAACCTGGGCAAGAGCATCAAATCTTCACAGTCCACAAAATATACAGTTAATTCACTTAACAGTATATTCTGTGAAGTGCTTTGAGACTCCAGGCGCTATATCAAATGAAAGGATTGTTATTTTTTATTATTATATGTCAGCCAGGAGAAGAAAGACAACTGAAAATGACTGGCCAAGAACACGTGAGTACAATTCCTCCACACCATAGGGCACATTCGAAGAGATACACTTTTAGATAGCTTTTGAAGATCGAGGGAGTGAAATAAAGGGAGTGCCACAGGATGGAATTATAGTGGCTAAAGGCTCAGCTACTGTAGATGGATTTAAAGTTTACATTTACTGGCTGTCTAAATTATTTGCGGCAAGTTGATTTACAATATAAACCCGAGGAAAAGAGGCATGCCGAGATTACAAACATAGAATTTCTCTCTTCTCCCCCCGACCCAATCGTATTGTGGCCAAAGAGATCACATGTATACCATTACCTCTCTTTAGGACATAATGCAAGAGAAATTACTCTTGCCACATGTTCTGTTTTATCTTAAAAGTTGGTGGTGAAAGAGAAAAGAAGTTTGAAGAAAAGAAAAAGGCCATTTAACACAATCCTACTTAGGGTGAGAGAGAGAGACGAAGAGACGAGACCAAAAGAGGCAGAGTAGGGACACATTGCAAGATAAATCTGCAATGGTCTCATGTTCTTTTGATAAAACCACACCAATGACATCTCAGGGTACAAAGGAGTGAGAGCTGGCGAAAGGAAAGGTTAATTAAAAGGCGTTCAAAAATAATTCAACTAATGTCCTACTAACACTCAAGCTGTTCCACCATCGCTCACTTAGTTGAGGGCATCATTAGAGCAGGCCTTGGGATATTGCATTCCATGAGTCCAGGCGTAATTGATAATTCAATTGTCAAAATTAATGAGCTAATTGCTCTCAACTCACAACAGAAATACTTTCTGTAACAGTTTGGAGTTAAGTTTGTACTCAAACGGATTTCCAGTGCTTCTGCCTCAAAGTATACTGCATTTACTTGGGGAGGTTAAAAAAAGGCCGCTTGGGTGTTTTGCTCACCAATATTTGCTGCAGTGTCCACTGTATTGTGATTGCAAAACAGCAGATAATAGGTATTTCAAACACTGTTAAAAGAAACCGACAAATGCGCATAGCACAGGAATAGTATTTGGGGGAAGTCTTCAAGCTTTTTCTTTACCTGCAAGCAGACAGTTAGCAATGGCAGACACACTAACAATAACAGATCGCAAATTACATTGTTGGAAGAACAATAATAGTTCTTGCATTTGACACATGTACATCTCAAAAGCACTCGAGTTTTCTACGAAGCACAGTGACTGTACATTTGCAGGTGAATGAGAATTCATTAGGAATAGGAGAATTCACTCAAGAAAGGGTTTATTCAGTTCCTCTGTATACAATTGTAGAATTACTGTGTCAACATCATCTGATGGGAGCTCACAGCCTGCAAGTGGTTTTCACAGACTCAGAAAAACAGAAGTGTAATTTTTTTTTAAAAAAACCCCACTCTTTCCAAAGACATCCACTCGTTCTCCTGAACAGTTCGCAATTTGCTCTTACCTAACTTGCTATCTATCGGCTGTGGTAAGTCTGTAATGTGTTCAATGCAAAAATATTCTAGCATCACTTTCTTGTGTTCTAACTCCACTCTGTACACAAGCTCACAGAGGCTTCTGTATCACATTTACGCAGCCTGAGGCTCGTTCCCTTCAATCTTTCTTGTATTTCAGGTGTAGACGGCAAACCTCGCCGTAGAACATTGCACAACTCCCATTCTACAGTGAAAAACCCAATTACTCTTATGACGTCACAGTAACTATTCTCGTGTCACACAACAGGTTCCTCATGACTTCACGAAGCATCTCAACTGCTTTCACAGCATCTTAAAGGCACAGCCCTCCTAGATTTAGTGATCAGTGGTACAGTCCGCGACTGTGATTCACAAACATAACTACTTTCTTGTTTAGAAAAGCTTCCCCCATTTTCTGATGAAAGGAGAATTACCAGTAATGGACAGTGCTGTATTTAATACAGTAAAGATTAAATGACTACTGCTTTGGGCCGTTTTACAAACCAGGAAAGCCACTAAATAAAGTAGCATCCAACACACACAATTTGAGCTGCAGGACTCAGCTTGCGACAGATGTTATAGACGGGCTTCAAAAGTATAATACCTCTAATTCCCAAGACACTGGCATTTGATGCTGTTCACCTCAAGCATCATTTCACAGGTCTGATGGTACAACTTCTGCGCTTACAGAAAACATCCCACCTGTGCAGGAATGTGTGCAGAACACACTCCAGTAAATGCCAGAGAAAGACAACACTTGAGAATCACTGGGTGCCCTTTTGAAGAGTTAATGTGGAGACGTGGAACTAGAAACACTACGGGTGCTGTCACTTTAAGTATTCATTACATCAGATCTGCAGCATTATGGGGCATCTGCAATGCAGTCCAGTTACTGAATACTGAACAAACTTATAAACATTTCATAGTACATTTTTAACCATCATTGCTAGACTATCAAGGAATTGCTGTCATTCCTGCTCCAATATAAATGCAATGGTTTTACA